ATGTTTACAACTGTGACTATTAGTTTTAAGTAGGTAACTCCACAGAAATAAGATGCTTAAGGTTTAAAATGAATTTTTTAAAATGAAAAATCTTTCTTCAAGCTTTTATTTTAGTTTCAGTTTCAAACTAATAGATTTAATTTAATATTTCCAATAAGCAAAATACTTTGCTGTGTTTTAAAACTAATTTAAATTGACTGGAAAGAAGTTGTTTTGAAATAGCTAAAATCGCCGATTTTACCGCCATTTTAGTCATCTGTCATCACAATTTTCTTTATTATCTTTCAAAAAATAAAAATCTTTATTATCTTTCAAAAATAAAATATAATTTTCTGAAATTTTATTTGAGGAATATGTGCTGATTTAAAGTTTAATTAATTTGATTTGAAACAAATATCGCTTACTTTAAGTTTAAAATATCCCAGAAATGTATTTTTAACACGGCAGTAGGTGTTTATTTGAGGTGCTGATAGGTTGACAGTTTGACGAACATCTCATTTTTTTCTACACTAGACATATCTGTAAATATTATTTGAGGAATATAATGTGAGCGTTTGTATTATATAATTTTAACTACCAAGTAATCTTGAAAATTTAGGAAAACATTCTCCATAATCTAATGTTTTATTGAATTTTATGTACTTTGGCTTTAAATTTACTACATTTATCACTCTTATATTCTGATAATGTCCTGTATGGACATTCGTAATTACAAAAATCGTCAGGTTTATACACACAGAAAAAAAATCAAAGATATTTTTAAATTATTGGGGGCTGCTGAATTATAGTAAGCTTTTCCATTGATGATTAGTAAATATAGTTTTTACTTAATAACAATATCAGCTAAACGATACAAATTAATACAGAAATTTAAAAGATTTACAACTATATAAATTATTTTAAGTATTTTTTAACGGAAACAATTTTTATCAAATGTCATTACTCATCGAAAAAATATTTTTCTTAAGACAACAGTGTCCATAATATATTTTATTCATAAAAGCAATTAAAAGTTTTTTTGTTTTTGTTTTTTCTAATTTAAATGTCTTAGGTCTATTGCATTTTTTTTTTTTTTATCTTACGATTCAGAGTAAATTTTCAGTAACTGGAGGTCCTGTTTTATAAAAAGAAATTAATTATTTAAATTCCCCAAGGAATTCTTGGTATAACATAAACATTAAGCCCAACAAAAATGAATTTCTCCAAATGTCATAAAATTAAATAAGTAGAGGTAACAGATGTAAAAAAAAAAAAAAACATGTTTTTACCAAGATTTTCTAAAAAAAAGTTGTTTAAAAATGATTTAATTCATTTGGGAATATGTCGTGGAAGTTTTATTAAAATCTGACAATTATTTCCATATTAATGTGTTTTTCACAGCAAAAAATTTTTTATCCTCTCCGCTGACGCAAGAAAAATAAGATTTTTAACCAAAGTTTTGAAATTTCTAAGAATGAATAAAAACTATAATTTAATAATAAAAAGGTCTTTCCTCTTAATAATAACATAAATTCCGACGACAAAACTGTGTTTATATTAAAATTAGGGCATTTTTTCATCATAGTATATTATTTTCAAAAGCTAAGGATTACGAGGCGATGCTAACGGGTTTTGTTCTCTCAGTTGCAACTGAAACTGCTGAAACTTTCTGTGATTATTGACTGTAAGTTTTTCTTTCTATGCACGCTTATTTTTAGACATATTTTGTGGGAATTGATTATCATGTTTCCTGAATACGTTATGAACCAGAAACTTCTATAAAAAGCAACAGAAAATGTTTTATAAAAAATAAACAAAGATTTTATAGATCTGGCAGTTTAAGAGTCTTTGTATTTTAACTTTTAAATATTTGAAGTCAATCAACCCAAGCAAATGCTATTCAGAAGATTTTAGATGACTAAACCAGAAGTGAACTGTTGTTAAATACTCTCCTTGATATCGTCTTTACATTTGCCACTTCGATCAATTTCTTTCTCTTTGAAGACGACATATTCACAGACAATAGGGATCAAAGTCGTGTATAACAATTGCATTTTTTTCGCTGCTGCTAGGTTGCAATATGTTATTGTAAAAATATTGAAGCAGATAATCCGATTTCTAAGTTAATAAGTTCGTTATATTCAACAACGAGACTTGACCAAACAAAATCGATACGTACGTTTGGTAACAGGGCTAAAAGAAGACATCTGACCAAGTTGGTACAAGTCGAGTATCATGTTACCAACAAAGCACACGTTATGTCATAATGTTGGTTTCGCAAGTAAACGCTATATATAAAATGACCAAATCATTCTCCACTTCTTTTTCGTACGGTCGATGTGTTTAATTAACTTTTCAGGTTATATTTTGCTGATACGTTGACTGCTCACAATTATTCTAGTTCTTCTTTTATGTACTCTCTCTCTCTCTCTCTCTCTCTCTCTCTCTCTCTCTCTCTCTCTCTCTCTCTCTACAGGATGTGGGCATACATGGCTCTCCAAAACATCCTATCCTTTTTAGCAATAAGCTAAGTAGGATAATCTATTCACTTACTTGGTTTCTCCAGTCATTTACACAAGTAATCAAGAAGGTCATTCAGTGTTTCTATCTGCCCGTCTTAGATTACTTAATCAAAATGTTAACTTTCCGCATTTCTTCTTTTTCTATGTGCTGTGTCCCATCTGGACGTTGGCAATCATGGCTCTCCACATTTTCCTGTCATTTGTAGCTCTTAACTTTTGTTTTTTTTTTGTTGTTTTGTTTTGTTTTTTGTTTTTGTTTTTTGTCTTCTCTTCCAGACCCTGCTCTACCTTCCTCTGGCTCTCTTACCTTCCGTCTGTCCTGTGAGTATCAAATTTTCCAAGCCCTCTTTCCTCATTATATCCCCTAGAAATTTCAATTCTCTCCTTCTGATGTTAAGTTTAAGTATTTTGTTACCATTCTTTCTAGAACTTTGTTGTTGTTAATGTTGGGTCCATGGTATTCTCAGCATCCTTCTATAGAACCACATTTCTATTGCTTCAAGTTTCTTCTTCATCTTTAAGGTGATTGTCCACCATTCACTGCCATAGAGGAGGAATTATACTATAAAAAAATCAGTAGTCTTTTCTTTGATTCTAATGATATTTTTCTGTTTCTTAATACTTTGCTCACGGAGAGAGGAAGAGCAAGGATGAACAATGAGAAAATTCTTATTCTTATTATTATGTGTGCCGCAACCCTTCAGGATGTTGGCAATCATGGCTCTCCACAATTTTCTGTCCTGTGTAACTCTCCAGACCCTGCTCTGCCAGGTAGGTTGCTTTCCTCTGGCCCTCTTACTTTCAGTCTGCCTTGTGAGTATCAAATTCTTCAAACCCTTTTTCCTCATTATGTGTCGCGGGTATTTTTACTGTTGTTCCCAAAAAACTTTCTTCGTTGTTTACATGCTCTGTCTACGGTATTCTCAATATCCTTCTGTAGAATCATGTCTCTGTTGCTTTAAATCTTCTCTTTAACTCTGTCTATATTTCTGCAATGAGGCATTTTAATTATTTACACTATTTACATTGTTGCCATATTCGCGACCTTTCGCACGTTGTACGCTCCAGCTTTCTTCAGGTGTTTGGAATTTCGAACTGAACCCTTTATTTCGTTCAGCGAAGTAGATTGTTCTAGTTCCCCATATCATGCCTCTTCCTGATGTCTCAGTATCAGTTATTTTCCTTTTAACTCAACTCTCTCAAGTTTTCTGTTCACCTCTGCTGTAGACAGGAATTGAAACCACAACTCTTTAGGTCAAGTCACTGGATTCAAAACGGGCCAAATAAATGGTTCGGTTCGAAATTTCCATCAGCTGACGAAGGCCGGAGCGTACCACGGCCGAGTCGTACCACGGCCGCAATGTCGTGAATATGGCAAAAAAGATGAGGACAACAGTCAATAGTGTAAATAATTTTCTTAATCTATGAGGAAATTGTTCAGTATTCACTGCCATATTTTATTACATAACAATTCATTCTTTTTTCCTTCGTTTCTAACGATTTTTTTCTGTTATTTAATACTTTCGATATTTTTCGCTATTCCAGTTCTCTTTCATGGGATATTTGCCTTGTTAGGGTAACCAGTCTAGGAGAAGGATAACTATAAATTCGGCCATTGTAAATAATGACAGAAATGGATTCTTTAACCTTGGTAGAATGTCAGTCGAAGAGGACAACGCCAAAATGAAAACCAGCCTGATGAGGGATGGGCTCCGGCAGACTATATTGACTTAAAATGTGGTGCCTCTAAAACCCTAGTGACCTACAGGAATCGGGATAGGGATCGGGAATCATTGATCAATGAAGCGTTGATGTAAAAAGCGCACACGCGTGTGAATGTGTCTATCCATTCACAAAACTTAGCTGAGTGTGGCGCCTAGCTACAATAATAATAATAACGGCTGTTCGTTTCCGTGTCTGCTCATCTGCTAAGGGCCCTATTGCAGACGTCTGCTCAGGCACATTTCTGCTTGTTCAACACTCAAATAGCCCATCTATGGTTTATACAGCAACTATGCTGAGCGGATTTAGTTACAATTTCCTGGAAAGAGCAAATAATCTGGCGTGTACAACAATTAGAACAAGGCTGGTACACTCAAACTCTCAGTCACGCCTGGCTTGTGACTTCGTGCTAGCAAAAACATAGCTGCATTCCGAACAGTTGTGTCTACGCAATTTGGAAATCAACGTGTTGTATGGTTTTCAAATATTTTCTACTGAGGCTGCACGTTGGTTGCTTGCTGGTTGTTTGTGTTTAACGACATATGGATTATTTAATGCCGAAATCAAAATATTTTAGACGTAATTTTATATCATTTTTGGAGATAGTAATGGTTTAGTTATAAAACTCTTACTATTTAACCCATAGCCTGTGTGAGAAGAGTTGAATTCCAAGGACATTTGAGCCTGAAAATATAACGGATCCAACCGATTTTGAACCCGGCTCTCCGATTAAAAAATTCCGAGACATTATCCATTACACCACCCGCACATCCAAACTTACAGCACCCGGTATTCCCAAGCGGTCACCCATCTAGTACTGACCAGGCTAGACATTGCTTAATTTCTGTGATCGTAGGAGAACTGGGGTTTTAACGCTGTGATCGCCTCTCCTGGTTGATAACATTAAGAAATCAACAACTGGGGTTTTAACGCTGTGATCGCCTCTCCTGGTTGATAACATTAAGAAATCAACTTCCTGACAAATCAAGCTACAGTAGTGGTACACTAATCTAGGATCGAACACAGTACTCTAGGAATTGTCTGAGACGATAGTTTGTTAGTTTTTGTACAACGGCAGGTGCTCGTAGGTGATCGTAAAATGTTAGCGTACTTACCTTGCAATGATGCATCTTGTCTTTATCTGTCCAGTGCACAAAATAATCGGCGTTGGTCGCTTTACCATATTGGGAATAACCAACACCAAACCATTCGTCAGGGGTGACAACAGCCAATAAACGAAAATTCACGGTGTTCGTTTTGTAATTAACATCCCACCAAAGATGGAAACGTCGTAAACTATCCAAATAAGTACTGTAGCGATAATGTCTCCGTGATTCCACTTTGCCGGTCTTTAGCAGAGTCAAGAAAAGGACGAGGACATGGCACCATCGTATCGACACCCACTCACATCTCGCCATCTAATGAAAAAAAAAGATGAATAAAAGACGTTAGGATTCTATGTTAATGTATTTAATCATCACACAATTTAGTCGAAATTCTTTCTAAAGCGAACTACATCCGGCAGTAAGTACTCTGATCGAGAGATTGGAGGTTTTGAGCAGCGTGGAGCCACCTTATAATTGCTGTTGTTGTCAGGTTCACCCTGACCCGTGGTGGTAGCACCTGTTAGAGTTCCAGATATAAGCAAATCGTGAATCCCCAAACAAAAACAAAACACAATGAAAGTATAAAAATACATTTTTATATAAAAAAATTTAGCGACAATACCTATTTATAGTAAAAATACCAGCAACATAATTTCAAAGCAAAATGGCCAGCAATTATATTAGAGTAAATTATCAACAAATGTCTTTGTACAATTAAGGGATTATTTCTGATTATTATTTAGATTAGGACTATACACTTATTGAACTAATACATGTCCCAAGATCCACATACTTATTTAATTTTTGTAGGACTTAATGTGTATAATAAAATATATGCAGAACTCCTCAGAGAATTTAAATCATCATTTTTTTTATAACAGGATCCTCAGTTACAAGAAAATCTGCTCTAAATTGTAAAATGCAATAAAACTAAGACATTATTTAATTCGAAAAGCTTTTCTTTACTTTTACGAATAAGATATATTCTGGACAATATTGTCTTAAGAAAAAAATTCGATGAATTTTTATAAGAATTATTTTCATTCTTTTCAAAATTTTAAGTAGAAAAATTAATAAAGTTTTAAATCTTTTACCGTTTATATGATATTGTTATTAAGTAAAAACTATATTTACTAAACATAAATTGAAAAGTTTACTACAATTCAGGGACCGCCAGTATTTTAAAAAGAATTTTAATATTTTTATGTGCATGTATAAACGTAAATTATAAATACGGACGTTCGTATACAAGATTATCAGATAATAAGAGCAGTAACTATAGTTAATTTAAAAACCAAAATACGTAAAATTCAATAAAGCAGCAGATTACTTCGAATATTTTTCTAAATTTTTAAGAATACTGGGTAGTTAAAAATTATATTTAAAAAAGGGCTCACGTCATATTGTCATATTCTTCAAGTAACTTTTACGGATATGTCCCCCGTAGAAAAATTAGTTTAATTTCCCAAACCCAGGTTGTCAATAGAGTTGTTAACACCTCATAAAAAAATTCATCTCTGTGCTAAAAAAATGCCTTTCTACGATATTTTGAACTAAAAGAAATATTTGTTTAAATTAAAATTAATCAAACTTTAATAATCTTCTTCAAATAAAGTTTCGGAAAAATATATTTCATTTCTGAAAAGTTTTTAATAAAGACGATTACGTTGTGCTGAGAACATTGTAAATATGGGTAAAATCAGCATATTTTAGCAATTTAAAAAAATTCATTCCAATCAATTTAAATTCATTTTTAAATACAGCAAAGTATTGAAAATATCACATTTAATCTATTACCTTGAAATTAAAATTAAATACAAACTTCAAATTTTTTAATTTTTAAAAATTCATTTAAAACGTTAGGTTTCGCTTTTCTTTGGTGGTATCTATCTAACCTCAAAGACCCCAACGATGGAACAGGCGGATGACAATTAAAACAGATCTCAACGAGCGGATGGAGAGGGCTACGCATGACGGACATGCTATAGAAGGCGCCACCCGAAAGTATAGTGACAGTCCGTTGCTGTTTCATAACTGGATTCTGCATGTCCCATTCTATATATGCCGCAGAGGAAGGTCATGAAATCAAGTGTGTGGGTCACTTCCTAACAAGTTGAGGTCCACCTTAAATAAATTCACGCCTTCGATATTTTCTTCTACTCTGATTTTCTTTCATCTCCAACCAACTCTTACAAAAACAAACGGTGATAGAGGATGGATAATAGACGTAGCTTTTGATGAAACTGGAAGCTTCTAGTCTTGAACCTGCACATTGGCGGCGAATTTAGTCATCAACGGCATCATCATAAAGGAATCAATCAGCAAATTAGGATACATAGTTACAAATTACAAGACCGAACCCTAAAGGAATAAATAAGTTTAAAATGTTTGTATTTGTGCCAAGTAATCGCCGAAAAGGAAATAGATAAGCCAAGTTCAAATTCCAATTATTCGAGAAGGGATTAATCTATTGATATATCTCTACTCTCTAATCCAAATGATGGATTAAACAGCAGAAAAACTCTAATCTTTCTAGCCTTCGTTAGCAACCAGTCTAGGTAAACCGCTGGAATCTGAATTCAAACCGCAGAGAAAGCAACGGGGAAATCGTTCTACTTAGAAAGACAATGTCAGTGTTGTAAATACCCGGTAGCTCTTGGGACCACACTTTCCTCCATCCACGGGCTATCAGCATTCTAGGAGCCCACTTCGTAAATATCTTTGTGCAGCGAAGAGACAGAACTAAACCCCAGGCATTACCATGGAACACTTTCCGTCAGCTGTAATCAGAGCATCAGCTTCTTAGGCCTTAGACTCATTAACAAAAGTAGTTGAACTGCCACTGCATGCCCTGTCACTAAGGTCAGTTTCCCTTTTCTAAATAAGATTGCCACTGTTCTGCTAACTTATAACTTTGCTATACTTGCATCAAGTGCAGCCTTTTTGATAGCATCCACTAACCTTTGGAATGTTTACAGTACTTTCGCTTTGGAAAAACTGAAATTCTATGACGACCTTATAAGGACACGCAGTTAATTTAAAAAAGGACTATTCTTAGGAAAAGTAAATGTAACTTCACAATTTTTTTCACTGTGTTTCTGGATACTTCATAATTAAAAAAAAATGCCCAGTCAAAAAAATAAAGCCGTCACGAGCTCTAAAATAAATTTCTAAAATGAAATTAGAACGGCCATTACGCTTTTATAGACGTTTGCATTTTCATAGATTTTTCAAATATTTTTGTCAAAAATAGGACACAATAATAGAGAGAAATTTGTATTTTTGAAATTGTCATATTTAAAAACATTTGATAAATTCGAAATTATTCATATTCCTCTTGGAGAGAAAGAACAGTTACTTCACATTGATCTAAAGCAAAGTTCTTTTTTTGTATTATAACCAATTTGTTTTTAAATAATATTTACGATCAACCCAACTAAACTTAGAAATTTATTTAGATTAAGAAATATTCTGTCTCATTCTATAAGAAGTATGAATAAAATTTTTAATGTTCTATTCCAATATATTCTTTAATAACGAAAGATTAAGCGAAACTAAATTTAACTACTCGAACAACAAACTAAAAGAAGCCATTGTAGTGTTAATACGCTTGTTTGTGCATCAGCTACTCAACAAGCAGACGATAAACAGATATTTCTTAGCAGCTTTTTTAAACAACGATAATGATTGAATTTATATTTTTATGGCTAGAACAGCAAGTCTATTTGCTAATAATTATATAAATTTAGCATTTAACATTGAATGGAAAGTGGAAAGATAAAAGATTCTAAATATGCAGTTTGGATGCAGATCTCGCTTGCATTAATACAAAATTGCATAGTCTTTCATATTTTCCCTGTTCGGAAATATATCTTGCTATGCACAAGACAAAAATTAAAAGAAAAAAACGAAAACATTGCTGTATTAAATAAATAAATAAACTAGGGGTTGGCACAGTCATTAAACTTGGCGGGTGGTACAAGTCGATCTCTGCTGTTACCTACAAAAAAAAAGTAAAAATATTTCAATCTGAGAGTGAATCGACACTTTTAGAAAGCGACTCAGACTGCATAGGTGATTCCTATCATGTTTGCCTGTTTCAGATGCGATCCACCGCGGCTCAGTAAGTAAAAACGCTGACAGGTTTACCATGTGATTATCAAGGATTTTACACTTACGGAAGAAATCGTGACCTAAAAGAAGGACTATCAAGTCTGTACAGGTAAGTAATAAACTGTTTATCATAAACAGTCACCTTTAAATATTAGAGTGGTTTATTCAGAGCCTCAAAATTGTTATGGTATTCAAACTACTTGCTTATCGCAGATTTTTTTTTTTTTTATTCTTCAATATTTAATGAAAAAAAAATCTGGTCAGAACAGTAAAAGTTTTAGGTCAAAATGGGCGGACAATTTAGTTTTAATTTCCTACTTACAAACGTTTTTTTTAAAGCTCAGTATTAAACGCATGGAGATTCATCACAAGCAATTTTATTCGTACTACTACTACAAAAAGAAGAGTTTTTGTATCATGCTGTTAAGAAAGAGAAATCATTGTTCCTTTACAAAAGATTCAATAACGAACGATTTCTGTCTGAATTTCTGAGATGAGGAGTTATCATTATTTACATGCTAATTATTGTCCTCATCTTTGTTGTTATTATCGACCGTCATGTCCTCTTACCGTCATCGGGTGCTTGTCGATTTGCATAACCTTCAGGAATTTTTCAACTGAGCCCATTACTTAATCTACGGGGGCGGGGTGGGGGTCAGACTTTTCTCTTCTGCCTCACAATGTCGAGGGATATTTTGTCTGCTTCTTATTTAATACTACTCAGATATTACACGCCCTGTGTCCACTGAGTCTAAGTCTAAATTACCTGTAAATAAAGGGTTCAGTTCCAAGTTACCCGAAGGTTACGCGGACCGATAAGGTTGGAGCACAGATCGGCCGAAACATTGTGATAATGACAAAAGATGAGAAAAATAGGCCAGATGAAAAGAAAAAACAATTTATTGATATTTAATAATCTAGCTTTAACACAATTTATTATATAAATTCCCTCCGTACTGCTTTGTTAAGAAGTAAAATAAAATCCACAGAAGAATCTGCAATGTTATTGGTCCAGACCTGGCATCTCGGCTTCAGTCACTTTTCCACCGCCGTAATGTAATTCCTTGTGTGTTTTTTATAAATACTTTCATGGTAATTGTTCTGATGGTTTTTCCTTTCTAGTACTTAGACTTAATGAATTTAAGTGCAGTACTAGATTGGCGGCAAGGTCTCATCATTTTACAGTTGAAATGGCTAGA